CAATTTTATACAACAATCTTAAGGAATTAAGTTGTCCATGAAAATCTCTTTGGAATTTTGTAATTTTTGGATTTGGTTTCTTTCACCGGCAAAGGTAATTTTTTTTATAAAATAAAAATAAATAAAGTATAGATATATTATTGGAGGTTGATTAATATAGCTTTGACAGATTAACTAGTGGTATAGTATGATCTTGAAAAGTACTATCACTTAAGAGAAAAGATGAGGTGTGATGAGGTGTGATGAGAGGATGAGCAAAGTAATTACAAGACATCATATGAGAAATGATGTAGGCAATTAATATTTTTAGATTCTCTTCATGATGAGAATATTTAATTATTAATACACCTTATTATTGTTATTAATTTTCATAAATGAGATGAAACTTCCCTTAACACCAATATAATTATATATGATGAGCTTTGGGTACATTACTTTATGTGATGTTGAACATATTTGCTAAATGTTTTGAGATATTGGTTTAAATTGATGACTAGTATATTTTTGTTATTTGCTTTTGAGGTAATACATGATTATATATGAGTTTGACCTACATGACATTACGTGAGAGAGAAACTTCATGTTATGAGAAGATAGCTAGTATTGATCTAGTATAATAATTGATTAAATATTTTAATTACATAATGAAATGTGAAATTATCCATATTATAATTTTTAATACTATGAGATGTTGGAAAGATACCATAAATTGATGGTATTCAACATGGTGGATTTTCCATTGTATTAGAAATACAATGATGATTATTATTTGATCTTTGATCAAAATGAGACAAAATCCATTCGTGGTTATGTCACTACACTTGGATGTGGTGCAATTACTCTGAGATCAACCAATTAAATAATTGTTGAGTTGGAGTTTATTTCTCTTGATATGGTTGATTATGAGGCTGAGTGGTTGAAAAACCTCTTTAGTAAATATTCCATTGGGAATATAACATTGAAATAATGTGGTAAAGCAATTGCTTATATAAAATGATTGAATTTATCAATTATGCAAAGTTAATAATGGATTCGGCCGATCCTATCACTTAAATCCCTAAGTAAGATATTGCTATATTAAACATCAAGGGGAATGAGACTTTATTAAGCTACATGTAAACAAACAAGTGGTGGTAACCTAACTTTTGTGATTGAAGATCCCATGAATAAGGTTCATATGGGTAAAAACAAGTCACTTGTCAGTTCTACTAGCACTAAATTGATTTTAATATTTTTTTCTCTTCTTAAAATATGAGAAAGTGCTAGAGCTGCATTACTGAGAGTGTAAGTTTTATTGTTAAGCTTTATGGTGAGAAAGCTTAACACATATATAAAACTTTTAATGATTTTCATATATATCCCTTATGGGTGGTGTATGATTTGCAGCATGTACTTGATGAAATCACCTATATGAGTGTCAAGTGGGGCTGCTTGCATGAGATCTTGGCGAGATTTCTAGAACACTCATGAATACCGGGTACGCGCATGGCCTTGTAGCGCAAAATAGCGATAACGATAAGAATTGTGGGGTGTAATATGATTGATAAAACCGCTAATATACATTAAGTGTTTTGGTTCATATAGCTTGCTACACCAATCTCACTATATGTTAAGTATTATCAATCTAGGATTGGTTCATATAGCTTGTTACACCAGGTCCAATGTATTACAACGAATATGAGAACTCATTTTCTTTTCTTTACCTCTCATTTTAATTTAATGCAATAAAAAATAAAGTATTTTCTTTTGAAATATGTGAGGGATTGTTGTACATATATGATATTCCAAAAGAAAATGAGATCCGGAAATATTTTTATTTTGATTACATTAAATTATTTTTAATTAATTAAGGAAACCTTATTTAAAAATGACAGTTTTTCACATTTTAAATTCAAATTTGATTCTGTCATTAATATCTTACCGTTACAAATTTGGATTAATTTTCTTTTAATTACTGGATTTATTTTCTTTAATTACCGAATTAATTACGTGTTTTTTTAGGATTTTTGAAACTCTATAAATAGAGGCCAAACTATTTTCTCACCCCAAAACTTATGAAAATTGAGTCTTTGCCAACTCGGTAGGTTGGATGTAAGTGAAGAGAGATGATTGGAGCCTGCTATCCAATGGATGTCTTAATAGTTGACTTGAGAAGAACTTAATTATCTCAATTATATATATAAAGTTTAGATGAAGCAATATGGCCAAATTAAAGCATTTTTATTGACCCTATGAAGAGATGGTGAATTGATTTTAATTAAAGGTAATTTTGTGAAAAAAGTATAGAGAGAGTTGATTGCAGCAGGAAGTTAAGGTGTTGGGTAGCAGAAGAGAAGAGATGGAGGGTCCGATTGGCATAAGTAAAGAGTCAACATGGTAGCAAGGGGGAGTGGGGCCATGCAAAGACTAGGTAACTTGTGGCAGCAGTGTTCAGTCACCCCACGACAGAGAAAGAGAGAGAGGCGGGCCGTCAAAATGGTTGACTTGGCTTTTGCTTTTTGTGATTTTGTGAGAGAGGGATCATTTTCATCACGTGTAACCCTCCCGCACCATTCGGGGGCGGTGCATCTTTTTCTTCCTCATTTATGAGTCAGTCAAAACCTTTCTTCACGTCTCTACTTTTCTCTCTCTTTTATTCTTTTCTCTACCCCTTTTCTTTTCTTCACTCATCGGGTCGGGTCCTGATTGGATTTCGATTTGCATATTATGATTCTATTTATTAAAGAAGAAAAAAAAAACTAATAAATGACGGCAAGCTTCATTTGTGAAAAATGATATACGAATATTTTTAATAAATTTTAAAATATAAAATGTGTATTAAATCTTATATTATGCTTTAAATTATTAGTTAAATAAATTATTACCGTATAATATAATTTTTTTTTTTTACAAAATAACTATTTTAAAAGAGTTTTGTTCTTTGATCCATAAATATATATGAATTATAGTGTTTTTAAAATTGATAACTAATAATCAATATCTTTTATTGTAAGAAAGTGAAAAAAAAAAAACACAGGTAAGATCTAGGAAAAGAGATTTTCATGACATTGACCAATATTAAAGAGTTAATGAAAGAAGGGCATTTCATCCACATAACAAAATTATTAGTTGTACATGAGATCTGACGAGATAAAGAGTTTGTACACATGTTGATCTTTCGATATATATGATGGAATGAGATCTATTATTGTTTTATTTTAAAGCATCTAATGAGGTTGATAAGGGATGTCATTGGATGACAACTAATATCTTATTGAAGAACCAAATTGATAGTCACGAGTGAATGTGATTCACAAACACTACCATAGTTCATGTTCCAAGCCAACTCCAATCCTTTGAGGATGACATGAAGTTCCGTGCTAATTAACATTAGTAATGTAGCCACAATACCTTGAGAATTTAACAAGCCAAGAATCCACGTAGTCATGAACAATATGCCAGACCCAAAATGTCCTAGGTTTCCCTACCAACGTTGAGCTTGATTTCGCTACAAGAGGATGGGACCAAGAGATGTTTTTCATCTGATGAGTAGTGTTAGACTTCAATTGGAAAGAATGAAACTTTGGAGGTTGCATATGTTGTTGAGAATGGACTAAAGACGAGGCACTTTATCATTAAAAATAGCTTTATTCTGATCCTTCCATAATTACGAAGAAGCATGTGTAAAGAGGGAATCCAATGAGGTTTAAATTTGAGAGAGAAACCAATGTTGGACATTTGATGAGTTGAAGTCATTGTTGTTGGCAAAGTTGAGTTGTCTCCAAACCCTTTATGAGGGGGTAGAGTCTCGTAGAGCATGTAATAGATTCTCCTCAAAAGCATCACACTTGGAACAAGAGAGATCACAAGAAATATGTCGCAAAATATGAAAAGAATTATGGGAGATTACCATGATAGGAAATCCATAAAGACTATTTAATGTTTTTTGATAGGTATATCTTCCAAATCCAATTCCAATTCATTAAGTTTGTGGTTTGACCATTTAACTATTGAGATATTCATATGTAAGAAGAATGAGTGGTGTAATTACCACCACTAGCTAATCCCTATATGTGTATATGGCATGAGTATCAACATGAAGGACAATATTTATAACCAATGCCCTAACATTAGTTGGGGTAGAACTGTACAAAAGATTCTAGTGCCTTATTCCATTAACTAGAATGTCATTTATGTGTAAATCACAATTAGATATGTGAACAAAGTTCACTATATACTTTACAGGTCCCTTGTCTAAAAAGGAGTCATAAAATAATGATACATCTCCTCTCTTAACTCGTACTCTAAAATTAGGTTTAAGCACTTTTAACGTGTTCAATATAGACGACCAAGTATAAAGCTACCATAGGTAGAGGAAGCATCCATAATGAAAAATTATTGTGAGATATTTGTGGGTTAACAGTTTGACCCAAAGTTTATTGAGTTCCTTAATAATACTCCAAACCTTCTTTTTCAATAAGGACATGTTGACATCTTGAGAATGATAAATAATAAGGTCACTTATACTTTTCATTTGAATTTAATATTAAATGTTATTTATATTAAAAAATTATAAAAAATGATTAAAATATATTGGCGCAAAATTTGTGTACGTTATCTTCCAAACTCCATACAATAAATTTGTTGATTTGATAATAATTATTATTCTAAAAATACATTTTGATTGATATTAAAATGTTGAAGTCGAAGAATAAATATTTTGACATAAAGTAGAATTTTGAAGGAGATTAATATTTTTGCATGGAGATTTGTTGGCGCAAGGTACAGTATATGTATGGTGGTGTGAATTGAATTAGTTTACATGTTTGAAAGAAAAGATGTAGAATTAATCCGGGGCGGGTAGTGTGAACTGTGGGCGGGTGCGTGTGCGGGAGGGTGACGCACCATCTTGCGCAATAATTTAGACAAAAATTAAATTTTTTCAGAAATGTCCACATTTTCATTTCCATTTGGTCCACGCTCCTTCACTCTTTTTATACCCCAACCCATTGCACCCGAGAAAGACTTCATCTCCCCAATTACCATCTCTCTCTCATTCATTTCTTCACAAACCTCTCTCTCTCTCTCTCTCGTTGTCTTTATTTTATGGACAAAGGATGGGGACTCACCCTTGATACCTCTTCTTCTCAATCTCTCCCCTTGTTTCCTTCCAAACAGCCTCCCAACGATACCATGTTCCCTCTCCTCGGATTCCCCGTCAACCTTAGCCGCGCCGCCAACAAGGAAGACGATCACAACCGCAAAGTTGTCGGTGAAGTCGACTTCTTCTCTGACAGAAACAAGCCAAACGTTAAACCCAACATCATCAAGAAGGAGAATATTGATGAAAAACCTCTCCACGTTAATGTTAATGTAACCTCCCTCCTTAGCTCCTTTCATCTCATCTATTTTCCCCAAATTTTATATATATATCATTACTTTCTGCTTAATTTTAAGTTCTAAATTATATCTTCTTTTTTTTTTTTTAGACTGGTTTGCAACTCCTTACTGCTAACACCGGGAGTGATCAATCTACCGTGGATGATGGGGTCTCATCCGATGCCGAAGATAAGCGAGTCAAATCCACTGAGGTATATATATAATTTCATTTTATTGAATGTAAATTAAATCCTTTTAATATATGTCATATTTATGGTAATTTTAGCCATTATTATTGAGAAATGTGAATTAATATATATTTAATTGTTTATTCAGCTTGCACAGTTGCAAGTGGAGCTTCAACGCATGAACGCAGAGAACAAGAAGCTCAAAGAGATGCTCAGCCATGTCACTGGTAACTACACCGCCTTGCAGATGCATCTTATGACATTAATGCAACAGAACCAGCGCACAGAGACCACGGAAAATGAGGTACCAATTATAAATTCAAATGATCACTTTCTTTTGATATATTACCCTTTTTATTTAATTATAATTATAACAAGGAGGAAAAATTAAAACCAACATAAATGAATTACATAATTTTATTTTGTTTAGATACTCGCTATGGGTGGGATTTATAAGATGTTAATAATTATGTTGGAATTCAGGTTGTTCAGGGAAAGGTGGAGGATAAAAACCATGGTGTTGGTGGAGGGAAGGTACCGAGGCAGTTTCTTGATATAGGTCCCAGTGGCACAGCCGAAGTGGATGATCAAGTATCAGATTCTTCTTCTGATGAAAGAACACGATCGAGCACACCTCAGAACAATAACGTTGAAGGTGGAACAAGAGATGGCGTGAAAAATAGTAATGGTAAACACGAGTTGGGTAGGGAAGAGAGTCCAGACTCAGAATCACAAGGTTGGGCTCCCAATAAACTTCAGAAAACGAACCCTTCCACTGCCATGGATCAATCCACCACAGAAGCCACAATGAGAAAAGCTCGCGTCTCAGTTCGTGCCCGCTCAGAAGCTCCCATGGTACGTGATTATAATATATATATTTTCATCAATTAATCGATTAAGTAATTCACAAACAATTAAAGCAAGTTATGACTAGTTCTCTTATCTAACTGAATGGATCATTGTTGCAGATAAGTGATGGGTGCCAGTGGAGAAAATATGGACAAAAAATGGCCAAGGGAAATCCATGTCCTCGGGCATATTACAGGTGCACTATGGCAGTTGGTTGCCCAGTTCGCAAACAAGTGAGTTTTTCTGATATTATTAACCTCATATATTTATCAACCATTAAGCATTGTGGCTAAAGCTAATCAATATATATTTGTTGATTTGTTAATAGGTTCAACGTTGTGCTGAGGATAGAACAATTTTGGTGACAACATATGAGGGGACACATAACCATCCACTGCCACCTGCTGCTATGGCCATGGCATCAACCACTTCAGCTGCTGCTAGCATGTTGTTGTCAGGGTCAATGTCCAGTGCTGAGGGGATAATGAACCCCAATTTGCTAGCCAGAGCAATTCTTCCTTGCTCTTCTAGCATGGCCACACTTTCTGCATCAGCACCATTCCCCACTGTGACTTTGGACCTCACACACAACCAAAACCCATTGCAGTTTCAAAGACCTTCTGCCCCATTTCAATTGCCCTTCCTCCAAGGGCAGCCCCAGAATTTCGGGTCCGGAGCCACCCCAATTGCACAAGCACTTTATAACCAGTCAAAATTCTCTGGTCTTCAGTTATCTCAGGAAGTGGGATCTTCCCAATTAGCCCCACAAGCTCCTAGACCACCCTTACAACCAACCCAACAACCACCCTCGCTGGCTGACACAGTCAGCGCCGCCACCGCAGCCATCACCGCCGACCCCAACTTCACCGCCGTGCTCGCCGCCGCCATCTCCTCCATCATCGGTGGTGCTCATGCGAACAACAACACCAACACCAACACCAACAACAACACAAGCAGGACTAGCTAGCATTAGTAGTTTTTCAGGAAACTGAACTTTTCCCATTTGGTTCCATTTTTTTTTTGGTTAATATTATTCGTTACACTTTATATTTTTGTACATGGGTAAGGGAAATGAAACCATAAATGTTCATATTCTTTTTAGTCCATGTCTTGGGAGGGATTAATTAGATCAGAAAATGTTTCATTTTTTTGTATCGCCAATATTTCTCTTTGAATAATGTTGTATATTTGATTCACAAATATCTCGGAGTAAATAGACAGGGAATGAAAACGAAGAATCCTCTTTTATCTTCTTCCTTTGTCTCGTCGTTATCTTTTCTACCTTGGCCAGTATCCTTTATGACAATATTGAAAACAACGCAGACGGTAACCCATCCCAAAAGAACAAAAACCAAAAGAATAAGAAGAAAAAAAATGATATACTAACAGCCAATATTGAACGTGTTGCGAAGAATATTCGAATTTTCCAATTGGTCAAGAAAATACGGCCATTACTATTTGTATTTGATATGGACACGTAAATGAATTAATAGTTCGATAGGAAGTAGTAATCGATAGGTGGACTTTAGCTAGGGTAAGCCACGCTAGTGAGTTTCTTAGCAACTTCGTGTGCCCTCGTTGTACGTGAGAGTAATTGAAATAATTAAATATAGGAGTAGTAGTGACAATTATAAATTAATAATAGGGTCAACTTAATAATTAATATAGGTGGTGGAAACGGAAAAGTGAGATGGTGGACGTTGATTGGAGAAAGTTGGATACAATTTTTGACTTTGTGTGGATGGACGTCGCGTCCACGTTAATGGCATTGGACGAATCATGTGAGATTATTTAAACTAGGAATGGAGCGAGTCATGTCACCTTGTTGCGGTGTTTGCGCACTCGCACCGTACCTCACACACCGTACAAATGGGTCTTCATCTTCTTTTCTTTGACTCTATCCAAACCAAGGTGGTGACTTGCGTGATTGGTTTAGTGCTAGCTGAAGGAGAATTAATAAACAAAGATAATGTTATTTTTTTCTTCGTGAATAATTGAATATAGGTTCATGTGCTCCCATGTGAAGGGGAAGACTTGTTTCGGATTTGCGATCAACCCCCTTTGAAAATCTGCTTAACACGGATGCAAGTTATATGCTCAAGAAATATATGATGCATGCATATGGAGTAACTTATTTCGATCGATGGGGGAAAAATTCAGGTGTACTTTATTCACGTACTGTTCACAGATTGATACTAAAAAGCTAGGTTTGGTCTTGATTGTGTATCACTAATAGGGATAAGTTTTTTTGGTAAAGAAAGGATAATGAGATCGAGACTGAGCGTAACGTGGAGCATTTGAGGTCAATTTCAATGACTAATGAGGATAAGATTCTATAATCATGTGTGATTCAATGATATACACGAGTAAGATGTATTTATACTAAAAAATGTTTACACAATAAAAAATATCTAGAGAACAATCATTTTTTATTATTTTGGTTTACTTTAAGAAGATGAATTACGTTGATCCAAGCACATAGTTGTTTGTGCTGGAAACATAAAGTTCGTAAACAAAAATATCACTACAAAAATGTTATAAAGAGTGGCATACTTTTATTTTTTTTATCATAGATGTAATGTATATAAGTATAAATTTAATTGATAAATAAATATATATAATCTTAATATTAATTTTGAATAAAATTATAAGTATAAATTTAATTGATAAATAAATATGTATAATTTTAATATTAATTTTAAATAAAGTTTTAAAAAATATTATTTATTATTATAATTTATATATACATTTTTAATGATATATTAATATATATTGCGTTTATAATATAGGTTAAATAAACTTTTAATAACAAATAATACACTCATTCCGTTGTACATGTTGCTTATTTAATGTGAATTGAAGCAAAACAAAGGAGTAGATGTTTTACTGAGAACAGTTTAAAACACACGTTAAAGTGAAAATAATATTTAATTGTAATACAATACAAATGACAATTATTAACAAATAAAAAATTGTAAAGTGTTGGGATTGTTTATGTTGAGATAGCATTTATCTAACGAAAATTAAATTATTTGTATAAATAAAATGAGTTGTTTTACATTAATATTTGATATTTTTATAATATAAATTAAATTTATATATTTTTGCTAGGACCATCCAATACTTGAAAAAACGGCTAAAATGATATTCCTACGTATCAAAGTGAATATTATTAGGAATTAGTGAAATTAAAACAGTACAGTTCTATCTCTATATTTTATTTAATAAAAATTTAAAAATTATTAATATTTGTTAAAAATATGTTATATTTGATTTTCAAACTTTAAGATTTTAAGATCAAATTTTATTAATTAATTTTAAATATTTTTTGTTATTTAAAATGTAAAGATAAAATTATCTATAAAAAATTTATGTATACTAAACCATATTATATATTCATATATATTATAGATTAAAAATAAAGAAAGTAAGATCCAGAGGATTCAGGCGGTACTTGGAACTTAGAGCATTAACTCTGTTAGGGAAGTTTTATGATTCATGAGAAAATAGTGGAATATATCTGTGTATGTATAAAAGTATATGAAGATATTTATATTATTATATATGGTAAATTTATTAATTTTATAAAATAAATATTTAAAATTACAAATTATAATAAATTAAAGTATAAAATAATTTTATAATGGCGTAATGATAAAACTTATAATTTAATAATTATTTAGATCTATTAATTAGATAATTTTGTTTGAAAACACTTAAAAAAGTTTATAAAATAAAATTAACTTACACATAAATTGTTTTTTTAGAAAAATATTAATTTTTGAATTGATATAAATTAGCTTTGATTATGAGAATATTTAGTTTTGTTTGTATATTTTGTTAAAAAATAGAAAATGATTGTGGTGTATTGACGAGACGAGGGAAATTGTAAGAATGGCGTCATTACTTGTTAGTGGCTGCTTTTATAAGTTTCACGTGAGCCATCAAATCACCTTCGTCTCGTGATGCTCCCAACATCCTATCGAATATCGATCCCATTCGATATTCAATGCATATGAATTAACCTTGCCTTTTCTTTTTCTTTCAACTTCCAACATTATTTGTCTTTATCTCTCATACGCGTTGCCTTTTTATCCAACTGTGAATCTCTCATTCTAGAACGCCAAGATTCAACAATACTACTAACTTTTTACAACTCACCATTTCACTTTGTCCCTTTGCATGTCTTGCTGTTAAAGGAAATTTCTGCCCACCATTATCACTCTCACTCTAAACACTTGCAAATCTCAACGTTAATAAGACCATCTTCAACGTCTTCTTCTTTTATACATATTAAATTATTTTTGTCACTCGTCGTTCCCGGACTCTAAATAATTATTTTAAGAATGAAATTTAACAGTAATAAAGAACTTGTTTATTAGTTAAAATTCATTAAAAAATTATTTATTATATAGAGGTGTTTCAGTAGTTATTTTTATAGTTAGGTGTATTTTATTAATGGGTTAAAATTAAAATACATCTTAATGAATCTAACAACAATAATTGTGGTAGTGAAAATTATGACTCACTCTTAAAGGTTCATCCAGTGAGTATGGTAATAAAATTATCGTGAACAAATCTTTAACTGACAATCACAAAATAAGACATTCGTGTTAAGTCGTAATGTACAATATTGATTAGAATTCAAAATGAACACTTATTTATTATATGTTACGAGCAATGGGCGAGTCAAGTCTTCAGTTTATTTTATTTTTATTTTAATATTTTTTTTGTTAATTTTAATAATATTAATAAGAATAGTGTTTTATATGTTTCAATCCAGACTACTCAAATGTTATTAATTTTAAACTTAATTTATTATTTATGTTTAATTAGTTGTTATTGATTTTTCCATTTTTAATTTAAAGTAATTATTATATTGTTGATGTTGACTTAACTGATAAAATATTTTTATTTATTTATTTGTGCTCCTATTTTTTCAATAATCTTAGGGAGAAAACCTTATTCTAAATCATTTTTTTTATAAAAAAAATATTTATCATGGTAGTAAAAATTATTATTTTAAATGTTAATGATATGACCGATCCTATCATGCATCATGGTAAAATCAAAGGAATCCCTATGTTCTTCACTGGTGCCATGATACATGTGTTCCAGAACATCGGTCTACAAATAACATAATAAATATCATCAGAACACTACATTTGTAAATATGTCACAAGTAATTATTTAAATACATGCGTAGATTTGTACTCACCACATATCCTTCCTTTGCACTAGAAGGAGAAATTCATCGCCTTGTATGTTTCCTATACCACACCATGTATTCTGAGCTATTGCTCAAGTGTGGTGTATCACACGCAGGTTGTGTCCATACACGATGATGTCGTGACTGCCACTCCTGCACAAATTGAACGTGCATGCGTGACCAGTCCGTGTT